TAGAGAAATAAGTGGACTTTTTCACCTAACAAATTTATCGAACTTTTTTTAATTAAATTATTTCAAGGGTAACTATGATAAAGTTTACGTCGATATTTAAATCGATTTTTAAGACTAATGATGATAAGGTTGTGTAAGAAACTTATGTATAATGTTTGCTAGGATTGAAATATTGGTGATTAGTAGACGACATGGTTTTTATTTACGATATTGGTGAATGTTTGACCAAGGATGGTTAGTTAATTAGGGTTTGAATCCTGTCGACTATCTTAGGGTCATTAACTAATGCTGCAATTTTTGCGCTTGAATCAATTTGAGTGTACCTGGAGGGCATTCCGGGGATCAACGCCCCCGTGGCCCGGTCCACGACCAGGCCTCCTGGTGGATCAGGGCCTGTTCAACGAGGCTGTTACTGCTGGCCGCACGTAGTCCAACATACGAACCGCAGCCCGGCTGATCTGGTACTGACTTCAGGTATCTGTCCAGCTCCCTCTTGAAGACAACCAGGGGTCTATTGGTAATTCCCCTTACGGCTTGTGGGAGGCTATTGAGCAGTCTTGGGCCCCGGACACTTATTGTGTTTTCTATTAGTGTACCAGTGGCGCCCTTACTTTTCACCGTGGGGGGGGGGAGTTAGCCAGCCATTTTTAACTCACGATATTTTGGTAGAGCAAGAAGCAAACGTTTCGCCCAGGACTGACCTTCTGGAGATTACCTTCCCCACAGCCTGGTTGATCAGTCCCTGATCCACCGGGAGACCTGATCAAAGACTGGGCCACGGGGGCGTTGACCCCCGGATCACCCTCCAGGTAGACTCCAAGTAGGTAGGTCTGAGACCGGTCAGGTCTGAGACCGGTCAGGTCTCAGACCAGACTTTTTAACTTGAAAAAACTCACTAATACACGAAACATTGCGTAAAATGAAAGCTTAAGTGTGCGATACCTCTCCGCACATTACAAAACTAATGCACAGAAAGCAAGTCACTCTAACAAGGCCAAATAAGCAACAGAGAAATAAGCGATGCAACACGGTATTGCATAATAATAATAATAATAATAATAATAATAATAATAATAATAATAATAATAATAATATTATTATTATTATTATTATTTTTACTATTATTATGAAATCGTGCGCATAATATACATACCTAGTAACACAATTACATTTTTCTTTCTCTGCCGTTGGTTCTCAGCTGTACGAACGGGTTTTTAAAGGGGTTTAAAGCCTATCGATTACACGAAGGTCATTAAGGTTGCATGTCACCTGCTCCCCACCAGTTAAAATTACTGTTCTCCCTTACAAGTGTATAAAACTTTCAGCGTATATACACTGAGAGAGATATAACTCTCGGTGTATATACCTTAATGTAAGGACGACTCAATAATATTAATCTCCCTAGCCAGGAACATGACTCAGGCTACTCACGGCCTGACTGTGAAACCTCTAACGCGGTAATCTGACTTCCAGAATACAATATAATAATGTCTTTACTTACTACAAGTACATGTACAAGGCATACAGACCATAGCTGACATCAATGACATACTACTATATAGAAGGCCCCTTGTTACGCTGAGTATTTCCCGCATATTAGGTTAGTTTTGTCCCAGGATGCGACCCTCACCAGTCCACTAACACCCAGGTACCCATTTTAAACTGATGGACGAGCAGGGACAGCAGGTGTCTTATGGAAACACGTCCCTAATGTTTTCCAGCCGTACCGGAGGAGATTCGATCTCCGGATCTCAGGGTGCGAGCTGAGTGCGCTACCGATCCAGCTACGGGACACCTTAACATAATAAGCTCTCTTTTTAAAGTTCCTCAATGTATTAAGACTTTTTTTTTGTAAATCCAATTAAAAACGTGCCCCCAAAAACTAAAAATGAATTAAAAGACCTTAGTACGTGTTATTTTATTTTGAAAGTAATTTTTTTAACTGTTAATAAAAAAATCGTAACTTCTATATAACTCACTGATTTTAATGCTAATGCCCAGGTTCTTTCTGGTACATAATGATTATCCATGTTGTTGTTGTATTCATTAACAGGACAAGTGTTTCCTGACGTGGGTCTTATATGATGACCCGCAGTTGGATTATTATTATTATAATCAAGGGGGAAGCGCTAAACCCGGAGGATTATACAGCGCCTGGGGGGGGGGGGATGTGGAAGGCATTCAGGCTTAATTTGGGGAACTGGAGCACAGATCCAATTCCCTAAATCAAGAGCCCCTCACCAACATCAAGGAACCTTCCTTGAGGGGCCCGCAGTTGGAGCTTCTGGTCATCTGGCCGAGGCCTTCCACTGGCTTACCCGTCCACCCCTTTAAAAATTAATATCGACTCGTCAGGAGACAGGACAAGTGACGGCTAACAGGGGTCTTAATCATATAAATGACCCGATGGTAAAGTTAGGTTAGGAAATAATCGTCAGTAAACAGGACAAATATTTCCTGACGCTGGTCTTAGTCTTCCAGAGGGAGCTGGACAGATACCTCACGTCAGTGCCGGATCAGCCGGGCTGTGGTTCGTACGTTGGACTACGTGCAGCCAGCAGTAACAGCCTAGTTGATCAGGCCCTGATCCACCGGGAGGTCTGGTCGTGGACCGGGCCGCGGGGGCGTTGATCCCCGGAATACCCCCCAGGTGGACCCACAGCTGGAGCTTTTGGTCATCTGACAGAGGCCTTCCACGGGCTTACCACTCCATCCCTTCAAAAACTGATATATTCATGCACTTTTTTGGTAAAGTTGACGATGACACATTCTCAATTCCTCTTGAATTTAATTTAGCTTCAATTGTATGCAAGTTCTTATTCAGGAACGTTATGCAAATTTGGATTATTATAACTATTAAATAACATAAATGTAAATTAACCTAGGATAACCTATAAACATATGTAACAATATGTAAATAACCCTAGGATAACCCCATAACTAATTACATGTGTAAACTAACCCAGGATAACCCAATAACTTTTGCAATAACCGTAAATTAACCTAGACTAGCCCAACAACTTATGCAGTAACATATCTGTAAATTAACCTAGAATAAACCGATAACTAATATAGAAACAATCTGGGATTGGAATACCAATGTAGACAGGTTAAGCTGAAATAAACATTGACATCCAGAACTATTGATACGGAGGCCAGGCAGAACTGTGTGGTAAGGGATACAGTACTTACATCATCCCACCAGCTCTTGGAATGCCAGGAATACTTCTATTATATCTAACATCTTTTAATTTTTACAAGTACATGTACATGGTATACAGTGGCCTAGCTGACATCAATGATATACTGCTATGTAGCAAGCCGCTTGTTATGCTGAGCATTTCCCGCGAATTAGGTCAGTTTTGTCCCAGGATGCCACCCATACCAGTCGACTAACACCCAGGTACCTATTTACTGCTAGGTGAACAGGTGTAAGGAAACGCGTCGAAATGTTCCCACCCGCCGGGAATCGAACCCGGGCCCTCCGCATGTGAAGAGAGCTTTGCCAGCCAGGCCACGGCCACGGCGACGGCCAGGCCAGGTCTCTCTCTGGTGCTAATGTCCTGAGCGGTATGTAAGCGTCATTTTCCACATCTTGTCTTAACACTATACCATTTTTCACCACCTGAAAGGTCCAGTCCGGTGCTGGTTGTTTGTATATTGTCCCAGTCAGGGTACTGTACTTTTTTTAAGCGAGGGAGACTCGAACGAGAGACATAAAAACAAGTAATCTGATATAAGTACAAGGCCACAATTATCATACACTAACATATATGTAAATTACCCACCAGATAACCCCAAAAAAAGTCAAAGTGACTTATTTCTATGGAGTCCTTGTAATATCTTATTATTTAAAGCCTAGCAGTAAGTTACAGTTGAAATCAATCATGTTTATAACTAAAATTATTTAAGTAATAATGTCTTTACTTACTACCAGTACATGTACAAGGTATACAGACCATAGCTGACATCAGCGACATATTACTATATAGAAAGCTCCTTGTTAAGTTGAGGAAATTAGGTCAGTTTTATCCCAGGATGCGACCCACATCAGTCCACTAACACCCAGGTACCCATTTCAATGATGGGTGAACACAGACAACAGGTGTAAAGAAACGCGCCCAATGTTTCTACCCTGGCTGGGAATCGAACCCAGACCCTCGCCGTGTGAAGCGAGAACTTTAGCCACCAGCGCCTTAACTGTGTAAAAATCATTTACACAAGAAAGTCTAGAAGTTTATGTATAAATACACGTCCAGTTATCATACAGTGTAAATTACCCACCATAACCCCGAAAATTGTCACAAGAAGACGTGAGAAGGAACGTGAATAAGGGCAAAGATATGAGTAAAGGAACGTGAATGAGGGAAGAGACGTGAGTAGACAAACATGAATGAAAGAATAAGTAAGTTTATTCAGGTATACATAAATACAGTCACAGATTATCATACATAGCATCATGTGTGTAGAGAACCCAGGATAATCCAAACAAAAGCTTAGACACGGTGATTTGTTCCCACTGGGGTCCTTTAAGGGACACAAGGAACGTGAAAGAGCGAAGGAAGAATGAAAGGAGGGAGGAGTGTGTGTCAATTTGAAGTTAGCGGCTGCCAGAGTGGCACTGGTGGGGGAGGTGCCAGTAGGGGTGCCACCTCAGACCGACACAGGAGCCAAGGCACCTACCACCTCCCTCACCTCGTCTATAAATACTCCCCTAACTCTACCTTCCCCCACACTCTCCCACACTCCCCACACCCCCACACAGACTCTCCCCACACCCCCAGGGGCAAGCAGAAACGAACACAGCAGCAGAAGCTTCTTCCCCTTGATCTGGTTGTGGTCTAGCCTGGGGTGAGGCTGCGAAGGACTTCAATGCAACGCAAATATACGTCCCTCTCCTGTAGCCAGCGTCTCGCCACTGTTACAACTCGCCACACCGTCACAGCAACACCTGCACCACTCCTCCAGGAGTCAGGCACCAGTAATGGGGTGATATTTACCCGAAAAAAAGGTAGAAGAAAGCCAGCGAGAAGCTCACGTCCACCCAGTATTCACTGCCATGGCAGACTGAGCGCGTTCGCCTGCTATTGATCCAAACTTAGGCGTCGAGATCTCTCAGACTGCTGGGATGCCACGTATCACCACTACCCCTCCCCCATATACATGTTAACCACCCCCCATCTCCCATGAACAACACCCCCCATTGCCCAACCTTCCAATAACCCCACCACAACAGGCCCCAACACACAGCACGAACCTCTAAACCCCACCATACCATAACCACCGCTACCATTGTAAATTTTGAGTTGGCACCATTGCCCCCACGTGCAGAATGGAGTCTCGGAACTGATTCCCATTCTTAAATAATCACTCTTTCCGCTCTATAAGTCTACTGCATAGTCGACCCTCCTGGTAGACCCCTGGTAGACCCCTGGTAGACCCCTGATAGACCCCCGGTAGATCCCCGGTAGACCCCGAGTAGACCCCTGGTAGACTCGTGGTATATATTCTGGTCGTATATACCATCTTCTAGTGCGTGGGATTTCCTAAACAAGACCAAGTCTGTCAAAGGAATTTGAATCTATTTTAGATAATAATCAAAGAGAAAGAGCATTGAAATTACTCAGATAAACGATATATTTAGAATTCATAGTAGCAAGATATAATAAATATATATAGTATATATATATATATATATATTATATATATATATATATATAATATATATAATATATATATATATATATATATATATATATATATATATAATATATATATATATATATATATATATATTTATTTTTTTTTATTTATTATCACACCGGCCGATTCCCACCAAGGCAGGGTGGCCCGAAAAAGAAAAACTTTCACCATCATTCACTCCATCACTGTCTTGCCAGAAGGTGCTTTACACTACAGTTTTTAAAACTGCAACATTAACACCCCTCCTTCAGAGTGCAGGCACTGTACTTCCCATTCCAGAACTCAAGTCCGGCCTGCCGGTTTTCCCTGAATCCCTTCATAAATGTTACTTTGCTCACACTCCCAACAGCACGTCAAGTTATTAAAAACCATTTGTCTCCATTCACTCCTATCAAACACGCTCACGCATGCCTGCTGGAAGTCCAAGCCCCTCGCACACAAAACCTCCTTTACCCCCTCCCTCCAACCCTTCCTAGGCCGACCCCCTACCCCGCCTTCCTTCCACTACAGACTGATACACTCTTGAAGTCATTCTGTTTCGCTCCATTCTCTCTACATGTCCGAACCACCTCAACAACCCTTCCTCAGCCCTCTGGACAACAGTTTTGGTAATCCCGCACCTCCTCCTTAACTTCCAAACTACGAATTCTCTGCATTATATTCACACCACACATTGCCCTCAGACATGACATCTCCACTGCCTCCAGCCTTCTCCTCGCTGCAACATTCAATCACCCACGCTTCACACCCATATAAGAGCGTTGGTAAAACTATACTCTCATACATTCCCTCTTTGCCTCCAAGGACAAAGTTCTTTGTCTCCACAGACTCCTAAGTGCACCACTCACTCTTTTTCCCTCATCAATTCTATGATTCACCTCATCTTTCATAGACCCATCCGCTGACACGTCCACTCCCAAATATCTGAATACGTTCACCTCCTCCATACTCTCTCCCTCCAATCTGATATTCAATCTTTCATCACCTAATCTTTTTGTTATCCTCATAACCTTACTCTTTCCTGTATTCACCTTTAATTTTCTTCTTTTGCAACACCCTACCAAATTCATCCACCAATCTCTGCAACTTCTCTTCAGAATCTCCCAAGAGCACAGTGTCATCAGCAAAGAGCAGCTGTGACAACTCCCACTTTGTGTGTGATTCTTTATCTTTTAACTCCACGCCTCTTGCCAAGACCCTCGCATTTACTTCTCTTACAACCCCATCTATAAATATATTAAACAACCACGGTGACATCACACATCCTTGTCTAAGGCCTACTTTTACTGGGAAAAAATTTCCCTCTTTCCTACATACTCTAACTTGAGCCTCACTATCCTCGTAAAAAACTCTTCACTGCTTTCAGTAACCTACCTCCTACACCATACACTTGCAACATCTGCCACATTGCCCCCCTATCCACCCTGTCATACGCCTTTTCCAAATCCATAAATGCCAAAAAAGACCTCTTTAGCCTTATCAAAAATACTGTTCACTTATATGTTTCACTGAAAAACACCTGGTCCACACACCCCTACCTTTCCTAAAGCCTCCTTGCTCATCTGCTATCCTATTCTCCGTCTTACTCTTAATTCTTTCAATTATAACTCTACCATACACTTTACCAGGTACACTCAACAGACTTATCCCCCTATAATTTTTGCACTCTCTTTTATCCCCTTTGCCTTTATACAAAGGAACTATGCATGCTCTCTGCCAATCCCTAGGTACCTTACCCTCTTCCATACATTTATTAAATATATATATATATATATTTAATATATATATATATATATATATATATATATATATGTAGGCCCAGCCTTAGACTAGGCCTCTTTAATAGGTAGTCTCTAGTGCTCTAGTGGAAAGCAGTTTTAATAATTTTTTAAAAAAAATTAGGCATGTAACTCTTCTTATTTTACTCAATAATCTTTGGAAGGTCATTAGATTTTCTTAGGTCGCCAGATTTTTATGCTTATTAATAATATCTTCCATTAGTACGTAAATTTTTACTTTAGGACAATTCTTCTCCATAAACCCACTTGGTCTCAGACCGAGCCGCGGGGGCGTTCACCCCCGAAACCCTCTCCAGGTAAACTCCAGGTAAACTCCAGGCCCCTGATTTCCTTAGTTAAGCCTTAATTATCATTCTAAGTGTGGTTAATAATAATAATAATAATAATAATAATAATAATAATATTATTATTATTATTATTATTATTATTATTATTATTATTATTATTACTGTTATTATTATTACTACTACTACTACTAATAATAATAATAATAATGATAATAATAATAATAATGATAATAATAATAATAATAATAATAATAATAATAATAATAACAATAACAATAATAATAATAATAATAATAATAATAATGATAATAATAATAATAATAATAATAATATTATTATTATTATTATTATTATTATTATTATTATTATTATTATATTATTGCTGACAATTATTAATACTGCTAATAGTCAATATTCTCGTGTATATATACGCATATATTCGTTTCTCAGTGAATATACTCTGTATATACGTGTAATTAAATCCACATTTTTGGGGAAAATAATTTTAAAGTTAGAGTACATGTCATTAGGAACCTTTAATGACCCACCTCCCGTCTGAAAGCTTGATACCTAATTAGTTAATGCTAGTTTAATAATAGAACTGAGACGCATAGTACTCAGGTGCAGTCAGGTACCTTGACTGGTACATGAACGAGTGACATCAATGCGAATAAGCATATAAGCTTATGGTAACTTGTATCTACGTAGAGCTCAGGATGGCCGTCACCTGGAGGTACGTCTACTGCTACTATTGTCGTTGTTATTACTACTGCTGCAAGTAGTATCGTTGTTACTATTACTGTTACTAGTACCGTTTTTAGTACTGCTATTAGTATCGTTGTTACTACTACTGCTGCAAGTAGTATCGTTGTTACTATTACTGTTACTAGTACCGTTTTTAGTACTGCTATTAGTATCGTTGTTACTACTACTGCTGCAAGTAGTATCGTTGTTACTATTACTGTTACTAGTACCGTTTTTAGTACTGCTATTAGTATCGTTGTTACTACTACTGCTACTACTACTACTATCGTTGTTACTACATGTACGCTGTGTATATATCCTCACTGTATATATCCTGGTATATATATGGTAGAACATACTTCAGCAACGTATTTCAGGGCAGATTTAAGATTGAACAGATTAATGGGTGTTTATGCAATGGCTAGCTGATTAAATTAATTTTTATTATTATTCAATTAGAATTGGTCGATCCACTCTGATCTGGGGAACTGGAGGGCAGCTCCAGTTCCTTGGATGAAAAGCCCTTCACCAGCAGCAGGGCACGTACCGTGAAAGACAGAGAAAAAGACCCTTAGGGTGATAAGACCTTATCCAGGAGCCTCAGGGAGGGAAACTAATCTAATCTGTGTAACCAAACACAAGCAGACCTTGTGAAACCTCTGGTAAAGTGTACTGGGTGAACACTCAGATTTATATCTTTTGTACACTCAGATTTATCCACTTTTAAACTCAAGTTTGTTCACACCTTCTTTATTCTTTATTTCAAGACTAGGATAATTCCTGATGGTCAGTTATCGTAGATTCGCTGGTCGTATCCCGGCGCCCCTGATCGTCAGTGTATAGCTAAACTGCAGTCTTAGTAATCCATAAGCAGTCTACAGACTAACAGATTGTGTATATTCATTCATACATACAGGCATACACTACTGTATACATTAGTCCATACGTACACCCATTAGCTACGGTGTTCCACAGTGCCCAAACATCTAGCAAGGTAGGTAGGTAAGGTTTGTCAGGAAACCGGACAAGTGTTTCCTGACGCTGGTCTTCAGGTTAGGTTAGGTAAGGTTTGTCAGGAAATAGGACAAGTGTTTCCTGATGCTGGTCTTCAGGTTAGGTTAGGTAAGGTTTGTCAGTAAACAGGACAAGTGTTTCCTGACGCTGGTCTTCAGGTTAGGTTAGGTAAGGTTTGTCAGGAAACAGGACAAGTGTTTCCTGACGCTGGTCTTCAGGTTAGGTTAGGTAAGGTTTGTCAGGAAACAGGACAAGTGTTTCCGACGCTGGTCTTCAGTTAGGTTAGGTAAGGTTTGTCAGGAAACAGGTCAAGTGTTTCCTGACGCTGGTCTTCAGGTTAGGTTAGGTAAGGTTTGTCAGGAAACCGGACAAGTGTTTCCTGATGCTGGTCTTCAGGTTAGGTTAGGTAAGGTTTGTCAGGAAACAGGACAAGTGTTTCCTGACGCTGGTCTTCAGGTTAGGTTAGGTAAGGTTTGTCAAGAAACAGGACAAGTGTTTCCTGACGCTGGTCT